GGTTCATGGTATCGGTTAACTTTTACGAGTATGAGTACACACACACTTTACAGTATCGGCCCCGATACCAGTATCGGTATCGGTGCATCCCTACTACAAATGAAAGGAAACGCACAGCGAGGAGCAAAGCTCAGGCCAGTCCTCGCTGCACTACCAGTCAGTGCAATGGCATTCCAGTTACCCAACCAGCAGCAGGGAGGTGCAAGCAGAGCCTGATACCTGCTCAGACTCCCACGGGCATTCGCTGTTTGCTCACCTCGTCTCGTTTTAAAAAATAAAATATTCTCCTATTTTTAACCTTTTATTCACACAGCTTTTATTCACACAGCTGTTCTGTGACGAGAAAATGTTTTCGTATGTCAGAGAGAGAGGAACCTTTGGTGTGACATCATCACAGGTGCAAACGCCCAGTGGTGACGTTACAGGTGAGCAGTTACATAAGTTCCCACAGTCTGCAGTCGATACAGAGAACAAGCAGGTGACTGACGGCGAGAGGCTCGCCCGTGCCCGCCTGCGCCGAGGGCGGCTCTGCGACTACAAACACGGAAACTATTCAAATCAGCTTCTGTGAAGTTTAAACGAACAAACGAGATAAAAATCACTCACGAGCACTTTAAGTAGAAACTGTGTGCGTTGAGTTTTTGCAGAGCACCAAATTGCTAGAAAACCACACTGATTTTTTCTGTTGACTACAAGGAAAAAGAGATTTTCCTTCCTGCTTCCCGTGAGCAGCGACACCACTGTAGTGGTTCATGTTCTGAGTCAATCTCAGAAGAAAAACATCCAAAAGGGTTGAAATGGCAAAGTCAGCATGTCACATCAGATTCAGCGGCTGCAGAGAGAAAAGCTGAGCTTTTATTAGGAACAGGAAGTTTACTTCCTCCCACACTCAGTCACAACTGTGGTTAAGACCTGCGACCGCACTAATGCCTCAACAAGACGCAATAAGAAACGGCCGCAGGGCTTCAGGCACAGAAGCAACCGTGATGGCCTGACAGTTTGGATTAGGACTCGCAGCAAAGCTTCAATTTTTCAACATGAAACATAAGATTGTGACACTGAGCTGCTAACACGCCAAAAACATGTTTTTTTTAAATACATCATCAGGAGTAAATCTAAAACTGCTCTCCTAATTCACTAAATGCCAACTCTGGTACAAAAGGCTCAAGCAGCGCTCTTCACTGGGAGGAACAGGACGAGTTATTTCTCTGCAGGAACACACAAGCCTTCCTTCAGGGTTAATTATGTGCTTATAAATGCATTCAAAATCTTCAAGTCAGCAACAATCAGTGTCAGAGACACGCCCTCCACACTCACAGCTGGAGACAAAACCAACCCGATCATCTCCCGTGGCCTTACTCATGAGTTTACATTCTTCTGTGAAAAGCTGTGAGAATTACTCTTTAATCCTTGAAAGAGTAATTCTCACAGCTAACAGATCATCTGCAGAGG